ACTCTTGAAAACGTCGAAGCTTAAGCTATGGTTAGTTATAGTTTGAGGAAAAGGTTCTATTCTGAGAGAAATATGCAGGTGCAAAATGCAAATTTTTTTTCTGCTACAACGTCAGAAAAAACTTCTGCAAAAACGAAAGTGTAGCGCAATAGCTAGAGAACTAGGCCCTGGGATGCCTATTGAGAGTGCAAAGAAGTCTTTTCAGCGAGAGCGGTTGTTTCTTCATTTGTCCCGTATCATGAGAACGAATCCCAATCTGATCAATAACTAATTTCTTCATAAAACATTGCTAATGCCGTAAGATTGATGAACGAAATTTATTCGCTGACGTTCCGACACTTCCGTCTTCTTCAGAACCAATGTCTTGAGTAGACTGCCCACGCACTTCCTTATCGTTGTGGATCTTTGTCATTGATGTCGTTCGGGCACCGCCCAAACAAGGAACTTCACTCGGCGATGCCCTCCTGTACAGGATCGTTGCAAGCTATCTACTCGTTGATGATCATTCATTTTTTTAGGACAATCTAGGTTGCACTGGTCGGTATTGTTGTCAACAAACACAAAGCGCAGTGTTCTTCTAGAACGTGCATTCCTTTAGTTTCGGCATTACCGATCTGTAATAATTTCCATGACTTGAGCAATATCAGTTTATCAGAAAATTAAGAAAGCAACATTTTTGGATTTTTAAAGAATCTTGTAGTAACATTTGAGCGGATGTGATGAATTACCTTAATAGTTTGCAACCGTCACATAAACGTATAATAGTTCACTTTACAAAATGCACAGTAACAACTTTTATTTTGTCTTTGAATCGTGAAGGATTTAGGAAAATTTGACGACATTCCATAAAGATCCACCTTGTTAAGAAAACTGAAATGTGGAAAAGGGTGAGTAAGGAAGCCTCAGTTTATTGTCACATGAATCGCGTTCTTGAGAACGCTCGCTTTCCCATTCCGATACAATGGCAGATCGTCAGACTGCAACATTTTTGTGCCTTAAAACTAGACATGGTGCAGCAATATTGTTGTTTCTTACACGCAATTCTGTCATCTCTCTTGTTTTTCAAAACTGATGGAATACTGCAGCCACTTCATTTTCCGTATGAATCTGACTCCATCCATAAAACCACCGAAACAGTAAGATTTTTATCGCCGCATTCGCTGCTATCTCTCCCAGGTAATTCCTTCCACACGTCCATATCCTTCATATTATTAAACAGTTGAGACGCATTCAATACTACTGACCAATTCTTCCTGCTTGAAAATGGCAAATTTTGGCACAAAAGTTTTCAAAAAATTGTTCTCGAAAAACTCCATTATATTCTTGAATTTTACAGAGCCAAAAAGTGATACTGTTCTGAACATGGTGAGACTTTTGGATCTCTTTATGATTTTGTTGCTAGTCATAGTGTCGACAGTGCTGGGATGTGGAGTGATGCCTGCAGGTCAAGGTAATTAACTGAAAATCAATTCGATACTACACATACAATTGGTGTTAGCAGGAGGTTTATAGACTTAAATCAGAATAGAAGTAACAATTCATCGATACTCTAGAGTTATCGCAATTCGAGCGTTTCGATGAAAAAATGAACACTGATTTCTTCAGGAAGCATATTGTGATTAATCATAATAAATCTTCCATTTTGTTTTTTTTTTTATTCATTGGAAAAACCATGAAATTTCTTTGCAGCGAGCACTAGGAGCTTCAGTGTTACCGGATTCACTTTGCCTGTTAACATGGTTTACACTGGCAAGCCCGAAATTTCTGCTAGAGTTCCTGGTATTGCTACTAATATCGGTAGTGCTCAAGCATTTGTATCACGCCTTGTAATGCAAACAGTGAGTTGTAACCTTCAAAATCCTACTTCAGTTCTTCGCGAATTTGAAAGGCGCAGGATGAAGGCTTCAATGTCCTCGCAATACCTAAGCCGTCTAGTGTCAACATGGCTTGCATAGCCTTACTCAGTTTGATTGAAAGCACTCTAGAACTTCAAGAACCATTGAAAAAAAATAGCCTTTTAGGTTTTGAACGTCCTCGAAATCCAACCTCGTAGTGCACTCCTACCCGATGCTGTAATTTCAACCCTTTTGAGTCAACTTGAAGTTAAAGTCACTTACGCGCCAATGGGATGTTAGAAAGTTATTATTGACTTTGTGAATGACAAAGGTAGGTTGAAATATTGAACAGAATTTTCGGAAAAAACACAAGAGGTGGTTTTGATTCTCTTTATTGCAACTGTCATTCGTTCCAGCCGATCTTTTTTAACACCAAAAGTTTCTAGAGCATCTTCATAGTTCTTATAGAACTAGGCAATGGCTCAAAGCTTATAAGAAATTCAGTAAAAACCACTGCATAAAACTGTTTGCTTACTTCTCAAATCTTTAATGTAAAAAATGGAGTGTCTTTTCGAACCTCACAGCTGCTTGCAGTCATGGCGATGGAAAGTGGATTGCATCATCGTCAGCAACACGATCACGGGAATTTGCACTGGAAATATGGGGATATCTGCCATGAAAGAATGTGTACACCAAACAACATGGTGACAATAACGGCTGTTAACGAACGACACTTGACAATTTCAGGAACCCTTTCGCCGCGAACAGCTTTTTTCTGGCAACCTTTTGTAATGAAAAAAAAGTTCCTGTAGACTACAAACATTATCATGGCGAATTGGTCGAAGGCAATTTGGCAAGGAGTGGTGAACAGAGCGCTTCGAATACTGGCATCAGGTATATTTAGATCGCATTTCTTCTCGGCAACTGGCACTGTCGGTGGAAACTGAAATTGAGCTGTGACGCGCTTGAGAAGGAAATGTTCATCAAACCTATATTAATTACGGTCTTATAGCTGCAATAAACTGGCAAAAGATGAGTAGCAAAAACTACTTACTTCAATCACGAGAAAATATTCCACTCTCATAGTGCTAAATTCTTCTTACTTAAACATTCTTTAGTTCAGTGAAATACTGTAAGTGAGACCACATAGTGATAACGAAAGATTTCTGTGCGCAAAATCTTGTATTCAAGACGAAACTAAGAAACATGCGTTCTCAGCAATAATATAGACATGAAATAAAAAGATTTGATTCTAGCGACTTCTAAACTCTCATAAATGACTTCGCCGAGGCAGAGATCATATCTTATGACAATAATAGTCACGATAAACAGTGTTCGTGGTTCAGAAAAATCAAATGATAAAGATACTCGCATTCGCAGAACGATAGGAACAAATCTGTCCTATAATTCTATAAAGGGATCAGACCGTGAAGTACACTAATAATACGAAATTAGCGAAAGAAGCCGATATAGTGGCGTCGTAAGCAGTAAGCATCACTGTTCTTGGCAATTAATCATTAATATTCAAGATTCGACACTATGACAAGTTTAGGCTGTTGTATGGGTTAGAAGATATCAAAAGTGGAAGATATTCGCCGCGGTATATGAATACAAAGTACGGAATGATGATGGAATAGATCGTTCGACTAGTCATTCATTAGTGGCAATATATGAAGGTGAATTGCTGCTGAGAGACAAAATTTAAAATAATAGAAATCTGAACAGTTACAAACATAATACTATAGAAAGCTCAATAACATTCAAAGTACGAATAATCTGTTTTTCACTGCTCCAAGGTTCCGGCGAAGTGACATGAAAAGTGTTGTATATGCAGATCTATAACAAAAGTACAAAAGTACAAAAATTTGCCAAACTGATGCAATTTCGGTTCTTTCTGATTATAAGGTGACAAATGAAAATCCGACCCCATTTGTTGAAAAGGAAATTTTCGGAGTCCAATTTTACCTCATAATGCAGAGGAAACAACAGCTTTCTTGCAAGAATGAAGTACTAGCAAGTACATTCGCATGGCAATATTAATGGTGCTTTAGTTTCAGAAGACAGAAGCTTTTATAAGAGTGTTAGTAACCTTTGCAAAACTCATATTTTTAGCTATACTTTCCCACGTTGCAGGTTTTCGAGAAGGAATTTCTTCAATGCTGTAAAATCTCTTTGAAGCTGAGTTTCAGGAGCGCATAATTCTTGCCGGGCGCAGAGTTTTTCCATTGAATTATTAGTCGTCATAACACAGCGTGGTGCTTCCTGATGTCAGAGTCTTTTCGAGCATATAAACGCGTAGGAAAGTATCTTATGAACAGCTCACATTGCCTCCACATGGCTGTCTCAGTCAGCATGTCGCGATTAGACGTTTCCTAGTGCTTGAGGGTCTTCTTACAAATCCTAATCAGAAGATTTCTTCCAAGCAAGTTTTGTGACGAAATCTGTTATTCTAGAGCACGGAAAAATCGATTAATGAGGTCCTGTTCGTATGAAGTTTCTGATGAAAACGAGAAACGTGAAATGACCATGAATCCTTTAGTGAGAACCAAAATCCAATTCCACAACGTAACTACAACACTGTGACAATAATGTGCTAACGCGCTCCATCTGCAAATTTTCACGCCGACTGACGCGCGAGCGACCAGCGCGGCTCTGATTCCTATCATCTGCCGGCGTGAAAGAGTTCAGTCGTACCAAGCACAAATAATCATCTCTCAACACACTCTCCGCTTTTTTATTTTTATTCCACTGATTGATTCAAATAAAGATTTCTAGAAGGTGATCACATAGGCTCGTAATGCTCAGCACCCATCAAAGAACTGAGAAAGGCGAACTGCCAAAACATCAGCTATTGAGTGAAGAAGCAATATAGCATCTCGTGTTTGTTTTGAAGAAAAAGATTAGGAATTATTGAAGCATGCCGAAAGTAGTAGATAGTCGGTCTTGGTAACTTAATGAGAGAACTGAGAAAATTTGCCTACCTGTTAGCGATAAGGTGCTTGTTGGCCAACTGGCGACCCGCTGGCTTAGGCAGCCACGCGAGAGAATTATGAGCTGATGATGAGATACTTCCCTATACTCCGAAAATCTAAAATTTTTGCTGTTTTTTGGCAGCGTTATTTTGCTACAATTATACCTAAGAGAACTGAGTGGTTAACAAAAACACGGTAACCGGGAATCGAACCCGTGTTTCATCCATGGCGAGGACGCGTGTTAATACCACTACACCACGGAGCCACATTTGCCTGGCTACTCATCGATTTATGGTATCGACTGTTTTTGAAACCTCGCAATAAGCATCCAAAATGATTTAAGAAATGGTGTGTGATACTTGCATAGAGGTGTTTAAGGATGAGTCGTCTGGCAAATGTGACTCCTTGGTGCGGTGGTACTAGCATGCATCTTCGTTATGGATGAAGCGCGGGTTCGAATCTCGCCCGAAGCCCTGTTTTTGCTCACTAGTCAGTTCTTACAGGTATATATGTAACACAATAACATCGCAAAAAAAGCAGTAAAAATGAGCGCGTCGCGAGTTGACCAACGATCACCTTATCGCACCTAGAAGTTCATCTTATCCTACCTGCTGCGTTGCAGGGAAATGATGTTTGCAGGATATAAGTACAGTATTGGATTTAGGAAGCATTACGCTATGGAATGATTACTAATAGTTTAAAGAAAAAGCTCTGCCTAACAAGGAAAATGCGCATCTGAAGCGCAAGGAATCTTCTTTTGTAATAGTCAAAAGGACTTTTTTGAAAACCGACGACATGAGACTGCAGCCAAAAATTTAGCTTTTTAATGATACCTGACTTCCCAAGGAAAGGTTTATGTCCAGCTAATGAAATCGGCTTCTCAACTGTTTCCTTGTAGTCAGAAAGAACCGCAGTATCTTTCTAGGAGTAAAAGGATAATGTTGTAGCAGAATTATTCGCCACTCATCGAGTCAACTATGACGAAATGGTATTGCTATTACAGGATTCGCTTGAACACGGAACAGCTACAACACGGAACTGCTTCAAAGCGGAACTGCTGGAACACAGAATCATCCCAGCAATGCCTCATGTGTTTCTCGTTTTCATCAGAAATTTCATATGAATTGAACCTCATTAATCGATTTTCCCGTGCTTGAGAATGGCAGATTTTGTCACAAAACTTGCTTGGAAGAAATCTTCTGATTAAGATTTGTTAGAAATCCCTTAAGCACTAGAGAACGTCGACTCGCGACCTGGTGGCTGAGGCAGCCACGTGAAGGCAATGTGAGTTGCTGATAAGATACTTCCCTACGCGTTTATATGTTCGAAAAGACTTTGACATCAGGAAGCACCATGCTATCTTATGATTACTAATAGTCAAAGAAAAAGCTCTGCCCAGAAAGAATTGTGCGCGCCTGAAACTCAGTTTTAAAGAGATTTTACAGCATTAAAGAAAGGTCTTCTCGAAAACCGGCGACGTGGGGCTGTATAGCTATAAGTATGAGATTTCTAATGGTTACTAACATTTCTATGAAAACTTCTGTCTTCTCAAAGTAGAGCACCATCTCATGATAATGTTGCCACGGGAATGTTCTTGCTAGCACTCCGTGTTCTTGCAAGAAAGCGGTTGCTTCTTCTTCATTATGGGGTGAAGTAAGAAGATGCGTTAGCTTAAGACAATGAGATTAGTTGATTAGACAATGATATCAGGATACCGGCTCTATCTACCGCTTGATCTACGTGCAGTCCAGATGATCTACCCCAATACGCGTCACACACGTGAAGGATGATATCTAGATCAAATGAACGACTGTGACACTGAAGATTTCCTGTGAAAGTTCATAATCTGCGACAGCGCACTTCCATGCTAAAAAAATCGATCGACCACCGCGTCAGTAGCAATTCACGTGGACGTCTCAGCCAGCGGCGCGTAACTGGCCAAAGCCCACCCTGCTTTCACATGGGAAATTGAGTTAACTTACCCGTTGCGTTTCAGAGAAACGGTCTTTTCAGGATACAGGCACAGTGTTGAAATCAGAAACAATTTCGCTATCGAGTGATTAACAATAGCCCAAAGAAATAGCTCTGTCCGACGTGGAATATGCACGTAGGCAGTGCAATAAACTCCATCTGTAGCAATGTCAAAAAGGGTGTTTCAAAAAATAGCATAGTAGGGCTGTGGCCTGAAGTCTCAGCTTAAAAAAATTGCTGACACTCCTATGAAAATTTCGTTTCCAGTAAATGAAGTCAGTAGTTTATTTGTCACCTTATGATTAGAAACAACCAAAATTTCATTAGTTTGGCAAAGTTTTCTCGGTGCTCTTATTTTTCTTCGTCAAGCCAAACACGAAATGCTATATAGATTCTTCACTCAATAGCTGATGCTTCGGCAGATCGCCTTCCTCAGTTCTTTGATGGGTGCTGAGCATTACGAGCCTATGTGATCACCTTCTAGAAATCTTTATTTGAATCAATCAGTGGATTACAAATAAAAAAGCGGTGAGTATGTTGAGAGATGAATATTTGTGCTTCGTACGACTGAATTCTTTTACGCCGGCAGATGACAATAATCAGCGCCGCGCTGGTCGCTCGCGCTCAGTCGGCGTGAAAACTTGCAGATGGAGCACATTAGCAGATTATTCTCACACATTCGTAGTTTTGCTGTGAATGTGGACTTCGGTTTTCATTAGAGGGATTTATGGTCATTGAATGAGGTAATATGATAGAAGTGTATTCATAAGGCTGTTTTTGCTGTACATGTCACAACAATCACAGAACATTGATTTGCCTCCCAAAAATGGTACTAAACATTTCATGCGTCCCACATCAGCAATAATTCAGAGTGACCATCTGTAATTAGTATCTTTAGATGTTATAACCTTGATGAAGTTGTGGCAGAGGCTTTATTCTATTGTCTTTTTTACTCCTTCAACGGCGTAGAGTACTGGTTGATCGAGTCTCCTTGCAATACGGAGGACAGCTCTGCTGTAGCGACCCATTGCTGTTGCTGTTGACTATCGAAAAAAGGTGGGTGGTTGGCTCCGGCTCCGCACACGGCGCTAAAGAATCACAACCACTTGGCCGCGGCGCCCTCCATTCTGTTATTTTATAGGTGATACTTTTACTATAGATCTGCATATATAACACTTTTCATGTTACTTCGCCGGAACCTTGGAGCAATGCCAAGCAGATTATTCGTACTTCGAACGTTATTGAGCTTTCTACGGTATTATATTTGTAACTGTTCAGATTTCAATTATTATAAATTTTGTCTTTCAGCAGCAATTCACCTTCATATATTGCCACTAATGAATGACTAGTCGAACGATCTATTCCATCATCATTCCGTACTTTGTATTCAAATAACGCGGCGAATATCTTCCATTTTTGATATCTTCTAATCCCATACAATAGCCTAAACTTGTCTTAGTGTCGAATCTTGAATAGTAATGATTAACTGCCAAGAATGGTGATGCTTACTGCTTACGACGCCACTATATCGGCATCTTTCAGTAATTTCGTATTATTAGTGTGCTTCACGGTCTGATCCCTTTATAGAATTATAGGACAGATTTGCTCCTATCGTTCTGCGAATGCGAGTATCTTTATCATTTGATTTTTCTGAACCACGAACACTGTTTATCGTGACTATTATTGTGATAAGATATGATCTCAGCCTCATTTATGTGTACTTAAAAGTCGTTATACTCGATCCATTTTATTTCATATCTATATTGTTACTGAGAACGCATGTTTCTTAGTTTAGTCTTGATAACAAAATTTTACGCGCAGAAATCTTTCGTGATCACTATGTTGGTCAATTTGAGTATTTCACTGAGCTGAAGAATGTTTAGAAAAGAAGAATTCAGCACTATGAGAAAAGCATATTTTGTTGTGATTAAATCAGGTAGTTTTTGTTGCTCATCTCTTGTCAGTTTATTGCAGCTGTAAGACCGTAATAAATATGGGTTTGATGAGAGTTGTCCTTTCAAGCACATCACAGCTCAATTTCAGTTTCCAGCGACAGTGCCGAGAAGAAGTGCGATCCAAATGGACCTAATGCTAGCAATCGAACCGTTCTGTTCACCACTCTTAACACATTGCTTTCGACCAGTTTGCCATGATGATGTTTGTAGTCTACATAAACATTTTTCATTACAAAACAAAGTTGCACATAAAAAAGCCGCTCGCACCGAAAGGGTTTCTGAAATTGTCAAGTGTCGTTCGTTAACAGCCGTTATCGTCACCATGTTGTTTGCTGTCACACATTCTTTCATGGCAGGTGTCCCCAAATTTCCAGTGCAAATTCCCGTGATCGTGTTGCTGACGATGATGCATCCACTTTCCATCGCCATGACTACAAGCAACTGTGAGGTTCGAAAAGACACTCCATCTTTTACATTAGAGAGTTAAGAAGTATGCAAACAATTTTGGGCAGTGGTTCCTACTGAATTTCTCATAAGCTTTGAGCCATTGTCTAGCTCTATAAGAATTATGAAGATGCCCTAGAAACTTCTGGTGTTAAAAAAGATCTGCTGGCACGAATAACAGTTGCAATTAAGAGAATCAGAAACCACCTCTTGTGTTTTTTTCCAAAAATTCTGTTCAATATTTCAACTTACCTTTGTCATCCATAGAATCAGTAATAACTTTCTGGCATCCTATTGGCACGTAAGTGACTTTAAACTCAAGATGACCCAAAATGGTTGAAATTACAACATCGCGTAGGAGTGCAATACGAGCTTGGATTTCGAGGACGATGTTAACCTAAAAGGCTATTTTTTTTTCAATGGTTCTTGAAGTTCTAGAGTGCTTTCAATCAAACTGAGTAAGGCTATGCAAGCCATGTTGACACTAGACGGCTTAGGTATTGCGAGGACATTGAAGCTTTCTTGCTGCGCCTTTCAAAATTAGCGAAGAATTGAAGTAGATTCCGAAGGTTACAACTCACTGTTTGCATTGCCAGACGTGATACAAATGCTTGAGCACTCCCGTTGTTAGTAGCAATACCAGGAACTCTAGCAGAAAATTCGGGCTTGTCAATGTAAACCATGTTAACAGGCAAAGTGAATCCGGTAACAGTGAAGCTCCTAGTGCTCGCTGCAAAGAAGTTTCATGGCTTTTCCAATGAATAAAAAAAACGAAATGGAAAATTTATTATGGTTTATCACATTATGCTTCCTAATCAGAGTTCATTTTTTTATTAAAACGCCCGAATTGCGATAGCTCTTAGAGTATCCATGTATTGTTACTTCTAGT